ATACTCCAAGCAGGATTATGTTACAGACTTACTCATTGAGCTAATCCCCACCACAAAGGAGTGCACGTTTCTCAGGTATATGAACCATATGTTAATTTATTCATCATTTGTTTATGTTCAATGGCTCTAAAAACCGACGATGAGTCGATTTCAAGGTAAATGCCGGGAGACTGATTGGTGGCAAGCAAGTTGCCAAATTCGTATGAATGGTCCTCAAGTGTTTAGTAGAAGGCCATTTTGTCTCACAGTAAGAAAGAAATTTAAATTGAACATGGCACTTTTTTTGGCTTGAATCATCGTTTTTTATTCGATGAAAGGCAGACTACATGGTTGAAAGGTCACTGACCGCGTGAATTTTCGAGGCAAAAATAAGGGCTCATATTGACAATGAAGGGGATGGAATGAGGTGAAGGAGGAGGAGCTAGACAATGGTGTGGGTTGTTTTAACTCATTTTGGCCAGGCAGGAAGACGCAATTTGCACTCTAATGCTAGACATAAGCTATTCCCAATCCATTACACCGGCCAATAGGCCGTAAATATCTGCGTTTTGGAGGCCTAAGCAGCACGTATTCGATTACACTCTCTGACTTTCATTCGTAAACAGCGAATGGTTTCAAAGGCGTTACGGACATTAGATTGAACTTGGTTAGTGATGTACCACCGAACCTCATGCTATCGTCAAGTAAGCAAACTTGGTCAATGAGTGAAGCAGCTGTATTTATGGCGAGTCGACGTCAGACATACCGAGTTAGGGGGCGGACCGTTGGTATATTCGGTTGGTAAAGTACAACTTCCAAGGCCCAAGTTGATGTGTCACTACCATAGTTGAATTGTTTTGTGACTAATTATTTACGGAGCCTCCGATAACCAGGGCCCACATAATCAAAGCGCCACGCAAATTAAGGCATTCTGGTTAGACAAAGAGGCCTTGAAAAAATTGATAAGTGGTTGAAAATGCTCTATCAGCGTGCCACATGAATCGATTCATAGTGGAAAACAGGTCCAACAGACAACAATCTATAGCATTGCATACTTTCAGTTAAAATAACCGGCAATACTTGGGATAGTGTAGTCGAGGATAGCTGAGAATTAAGGCTCATGTATTATAAAACATTATTTAATGAATGGTTCGCCTCTCACTTGGGTGATTACATGAAGGGAGACTAAAGATGAAATTCGACGAGTCATTGGTCTGCACGTTTTGGAGACTTAGTAACTGCCTAATCTGACGATATTGTTACAAATTCCGCTACTAGAGTGGTGAAGTTAACCTGTCTATCATGGGACCACTCCGTGTAGGAAATTCCCAGAATCCTCCCAGCCTCTCAGCCCCATGCACACCCACACACACACCACTATTGATTGCGCAGAAGGTATGAGCGCTTTCTCGCATCTGCGTTTACCTTTCGAGTCCTGTCATGGAAGCACTGCTAGGCACAATCCCGCTCACATTTACCCTGCTGCCAATCATGTGCGGGATTTGTTCTGTAAATGTTGCAAATGCCTGTTCTACGCTCTTAAAGTCCAGCAAATTGGACGACCACGAGATTTGTCTGTACAATTTACGCCTAACCGATCACTTGCTCATTTTATGATTTGACTTTTTTTAGTAAATTTAAAACATGCATAAAGGAAGACCGACCGGACATCTGAAATTCATTATGAACTAGACTGTTGTTAGTCATAATAGCCCTACTTTTGGCAGGTCTCCTAGCACTAGAAAACGACAGAAATACTCCGGTAATCTAATATTGGCTTTAACCAGGTACGAGTACTTCGTACATAGTGTGAACTTGTTGCTATTTCAACAATTACTTCTCTAGAGTTTGTAAAACAAAAGATTTCCTATTTGTCTCTCTGTAAAAGCCTTTCTATCAGCTTTTACTGTTAAAGAGCTATCTGAACACAGTAAAGTGAAGAAAGCATGAGTGCAAATGCGCTATATTAGGTCGCGGGTGTGTTTGTGCGATATTAACGCGGTAACAAGGGCGTCAGAGCTGTGGTGCACACAGTAAGTGAGGGCGTGTCAAAGATATTTCACGGCGTTACTTAGGTGGGATCTGTCATTCCCTGATGAATCAGGAGACGAATGGTCTCTAGCGCGTTTGCTGTGTATGAGGATGCACGAAGGTAGGAGAACTTTCGTTGCGGAGACGGAAAGTGTGGGTCACGTGCGCAACGGTCTGTGACAGCAGTCGGTAACACGAGAGACCCCGGCAAACGCAAAAGTGCCGAGGGACCAGTGCAAATTTTAGCGTGTGAGTGGTGGCATCGTGGAATGATTTTGCATCAGGTTCGGACAAAACAGCAACAATGTGCCATCAGTGGTTAACTGGGAAAAGGCCACCTTTCGCGTGCCACAATGCGGAGCTACACACAACAGAATTTGCATGATAAAAGCCGTTGGGTTCTGGCTGGTCTGATTCAATCCAGTAGCCATGTTCATCAGGCCTGGCACCGAAAAGGTGCTATATCCCAGTCCCTGCTTAATTGTCACATTTTAGGATCACAATGGAACGCCCATCTTGCTGCAAGTTGATTTAAAAATCAGCGATGCAGCTGCAAAGCTATGCGAATTGCCTTTCCAACCCAATTATGTTGCAGACTCCTTCGGCGAGCTGCACAAACCGAGCACCCGCTGAACTAAGACCGGGTTTTTTCATTGGCTATTAGTTATTTTCGAAAACACTTGTATTCCTTTCTAAGTTCTTACTATGCATAATGTTTGCAGCTAGATTGGTAATGTTGAGCTCAGCTGGAGGCTTAGCTAAATCTTCCTACAACAATAATACCCGGAATGTCCCATTGTTACCCTTAATATAATGCCAAATATTCATGCAATAAAGCGTATAACTACTGAAGTGTAGATTAAGTAGTAAGTCATGGTATCTATGGTTCATATAAAGTATCAAAAATTTATAGACATTTTAGACTACTTTTATTCGAGTGAACATATTCTGGATTTGTCTTAAAAGGCGATGTCCAAATTGCTGGAAAAAAAACAAAACATGCCTAACATAGCGTGGCTTTTGCATTCACCAGTAAAATCGGGTAGTTGCACTGTCAGTGGTTGATGCTATTTATTCTTGTCGACTTTATGTTTGACCTGAAATTCCTTTCTACTTTGTGGAACGATTTATCAGAAGCCATTTAAAAGGCCAGAGTCGTGTCAGAATGCAAAACTGCACCTCGGATCAGCTTTCTCAACATAGCAGGGCGGTACGTAGTTTATGAAGTACTAGTTGTGTATTTTAGGTGACACAGCTGATGCATGAACTCCTGGTAAACTCTGCTGCCCACTTTCTGGCCATTTATTTGGGCGTTCATTTGGAGAATAAGGCGAGGGTGCCGGGTGTTCATTGAACCAGCTACGACGATTGAAACATGCTCGGTAGTTTGAGAAAATGCCTTTGCACGTACCATCAAGGCCTCCGAGTTAGTGGGCCTCAACAACTGCAAATTCTTTTAATCCAAAAGCCTGGAGGTCACAGGGCGAGAGGCAGTGCGAAAACTTGAGTGGCATCGGACCAAGCGCGCACAAAGTGCACGGACTTTCCGGGAACTCCGGGCGCTCTCGGCGCTCAGAGGACCTCAATCAGCCGTGGATTCTGCTGGAGGCCGTGGGCACTGAAGAGGTGGCGACATTAGAAGGGCTACCGAGAGTTAACTTCGGAACAAACGAAAGACGCCAGTAAAGCACTGAACTAGATTGATTTAGTGCCCTCGACCATCAAAACAGCCTTTGACGGTGAGAAAAAATTGTGCCAATTCACTACCGAATGCATACGTGGTACACATGGGAATGAATGTTCATCAAGGCGGCGATTAATTGCATTCACCGTCGCGAAGCTTTGGGGCATACACGGATACATTTTAAATCAAAATACCATTAACTACGACTGAAATATTGGTAAGAGTGACTAATGACGAACTCGTAATGACGTAACTACGACGTATTTAACACAATACCGCATTATTACCACCTTGATTTCATACCAACAGCGACAGAGATAGGCGAAACGGTAGGCTGGTTTGACTAGGAAAACTTATGAACAGTGACCTCCATAGCTTATCCCGGTTGGCTTGCATTTGTGGAATAAACGCGACACTGCTGAACGCAAACAACCGTTGACTACAATGAAGCATTAAGAAACTTCATTCCATTATTGCTATCAAGGTTCAAAAAATTAAATACTGTGAAGCCCAAAGCGATTCAAACAACCACGAGAAGGACCTTAAATGAGAGTAAGTTTTTATGAATCCTGCATCAACCACTTGTGGTAACGTCCGTCATTTCGCGCTACTTTGCCCAATAGGGTTTTCCTCGTGCGATTCGCAACCATGCCGAAGTGGGATGAAGAACCTCATTAACCAATCGCAATTCGTCTTCCCTTACGCGTGAAGACGCGCACTGCGCGCCAATTGGCTCCGTTTGACACGTGCAGAAATAGACCTATTAATCTCGCGATTTCAAAGTTGATGTGCCCCCTTGCTGGCTTTACTACTAGTTTAAGGCCGAATATTTTACACCTTCTTCATTAATTCCGCAATTTAATTTCTCGGCATGATTATTTAAGGTGCCACTCTAGCACACGAGAATGCGCGTTGCTTGTCATAATTTACGAAAATTAGCCTGGACTATTATACACTCATCCACCGGGCCACTATTGCTTTCTGCTCCACCGGATAAAAGACGGCACAACCTGATCACCTTCAATGATAGCCCCAGAATGGTAGAGCATTTGCACCATGGAGGCGCGTTTCAACCGGTAAATAAATTATTACGTATCTGCAAAATTCACAACCGTAATTAACGCTATTCGACTTCATGCACCAAAAACATACAATATTAACTAAATCAGCTGAAGACTTTTGTTTGCAGGTACTAGCCTAACAGCCTCCCATTCATTGTGCTAGTTACACTCCCAAAGGTAGAAAAGTCTGGTCATAAGTTATCGCAAAGCGCTGGTTTCTGAAAAAAACATCCTTACACCGCCCTATGAACCCAAAAAGCACCAGGCCCAAACACGATCCAATTTATCCATCCAACAGGAGCGAAGGTCAGTGGCACGTGCGCATTTAGATGCAAATTTGTACGCACACACAGAGGCCTGTGCGAGCGCGAGACCGCATTGTTTATAGGAGGCGTCGGTGCGTGATGCGTGTGGTGAGTGCGTGCGCACGAGGCACTATCGATCGCTGTGCTTGAAGTGGACGTGTGTGTGTGTGTGTGCAGGCTCGCAAACGGCCGCAGTGCGTTTGTTGCGCCACGAGGTGAGAGCGCAAACCAGCTGCGCATTTCTGCGTTGGTGGTAAGCTTGCAGGAAGTACGTGGACAGCCACCGGGTCTGAACGGATGAGGAGCGCAAACAAATGCACACTTTTCTTAATACTCTGCGTGGGAGTGAGTGCGCGCATGCTAGATTAAATTTGATGACAGAAAATCGTCGAGCGTACTTGCCTTCGCACCTATTCTAGGGGCAATAGACTTGAAGGTCAGAAGAGAGGATAGGATAACGGTTACATCTATCTCTCTTTAGACAACCGCACGACAGTCCCCGGACGAAGCCCACCAGACAGCACCCAAAATGAATCACCACCCTGCAGCAACCGACAACCCTCAGATGATGTCACAGTGTTCGACGAAAATCGCCTTGCTAAGCTACTGGTTAAGACTCTCCTCCCCTCATTTGCTAAAGAAATTCGCCTGCAAGCACTCATTGCCTACCAGATTGACGGAGAGAACTACCGAAGCCTCATCGTTGACCGATGTTTCAAACGAGTTACAGATGAGGACGTCGACAGGACAATAGCTGCTTCACCGGAGCCTGTTTCAGCCTCTCCCCTAAACGACTCCGGCGTCGAATGTGGCGATGCTCCTGTTAGTGCAGAAACAGGAGAACCTGCAACGCAGTCAACCTCCCGAAGGAAGAGGAAGTTTTGCCGACCTTGTAAGATTCCACAGAGTCCACAAACCGTTAAAGATGAACCATCACCCAATAAAGTTCCTTATTTGGAAGCACCGCTAGTCAGTCAGGCTCCCAAGCCTAACAATCCGATCGCTCCGACCCTCATGAACGCCCTCGCCAGTGCCACTCAGTTGGAGTCGAAGCAACAAGTACCGATCCTTCCCAATCTAAATTCCACTCCTTCCCCAACCGCCAAGCTTATCCTCCCCCTAACGACCGTCACAAAGGTGTCCAGTAGCACGCCCCGTCCCATTCTTCCACGTCCAATAAATGCCAACGCAAACACTCAGTTGGCACCACTACAACCCCTCCTAAGTCTTCCGGAGACCTTCATAGACTCGGTCGACCCATCCGAATCTGAAGACAGCTTGACGGCCACGCGTCGCTACGGAAAGTCCTTTGTCTGTAACCAATGCAAACTCGCGTTTCCCTCTCTTAACGTACTGTGCGAACACACTTACTCCCAACACAAGGCCTTCCGATGCAACTTTTGTGGAGCTCAATTTACGCAGCGTTCGAACCTCCAGAGGCATTCCCTGCGACACGTGGGCTTCAAGCCGTTTGTGTGTGGGGTCTGCCAGAAGGAATACTACCGGAAGGACCACCTCGTTCGGCACATTGAAGTCACACATCCAGGCACGGACTCGAGGAAAAATATCATTGTAAAATTGACGTCCGCCGAATGTTTGGATTATCTGGACGCCATCACACAACAGCATAATCAACTGCAGCAGCAGCAGCAGCAGCAGACTACACCAGAGCAGGCAAGACACGAGGATGAGATTGCACCAGTGGCAATTGCAGCGGTGACCGCGGACACAACCAGCACAACGGCCGTCTGAACAGCCGCTGGACGGAGGCGGGGCATTCTCGAGGCACCTCGGCAAGATCACACGCAACACAACACAACACCTAGTGCATTTTTTACTCTGACTTACACAAGTGGCTCCACACACGGCCCACAACTCATCACGGAAATACCCTGATTTTTCGGCTTTATTTAACCAATATACACATTCCACTTGAGACTAAACAAACCATGCCGACCAACCAACCAGCCCAAGAGAGGTTCGCCAGTAGGTACTTGCAGGAATTGTGAAACGTGGGCAGATCACTTGACATTAGTGGACAATAACGAAGAAGTCACAATGAGCGCATCTAAGAGAACTGACCAATGATATAATGTTGAACATTTAAAACCCCAAACACTATTACTGAAAATCAATATTTCGAAGCAGATTAATCGATTCTTTTTTTTGCTAAAAATTAAAGACACTTTTTTATAGTAGATATAATGCTATGGCTGTCAGGTGACGAGCTCAACACCAATTTCATAACAGAAGCGCATAATGACCTAAATGTAGCCAGTAATATTGAAAAGCCCCGTTGATATCATCACAAGAGTGTCTTTTTTTAAAATAACAAATACATGGAAACAAAAGCGCACGTGTGAATAAATGCTGACTTATCGGCGTAGCCGGTTCCATCCAAGGGCCATCATCCAAAGACACTTGTGGAAGGCTGATTGCGTTTCGAAGGGATGAAGTTTGCTCAGAGCCTTGAGGACTTCATCTACATCATCACCTGTAACAGCAAAAAGCAACATCACGCCCAACTGCATTGGATGCATCCAAATGGTGCTTTATACTGCATCAACGTATCTGAGTCTTGCAAAAAATCTGTAGCTTCCAGCTCCAGACTCTCTTTAACGATAGCGATTAGGATTCTGAGTGCGTGGCATTAATTTAGCTCAATTACATGTATTTAAAGATGACAATGGATGGAGTGTGGGGCAAGAGGGTTTGTGTGGAGGGAACCACAAGGATAATGTCCCACAAACTGACACAATTAAGGAAACCTTTAAGCACAGGACAAGTTGGCTTGCAGGTAGAGATGACGCAGTCGCGGGAATTAAAAGTGCACGGGCCATGGTGTGAGAGGCAGAATTCGTGGGCGATTTGTTCGCCTACTTCCACACAACCTTCTTAGAATAAACGAGCTCAACATTGGGGGAATGGGTTGGCTGAGACCAGGAAAAAGGACTACCTCGTAGTTCGGCCAGCTTTTGAGTGGCCAAGTCGAACATGTGGAGGTAGAGGTGATTGTGAGCCAACAGTCTTTTAGTGAGGTCTCCGTCCATCCCAAAGTAACCGTTCCACTGAGGATTTGAGAGGTTTGTGAGAGAACTGCGTGGAAAAATGAGGATATGAAGTCTATGTTGTGCTTGTAAAAGCACTTTCTCATCAGCCTCAACACTTGTTCATCATAAATGCCCAGGGCGGTTTTGCCTTCAGATAGTCTATAATTGTGAACTCGAGTAGGCGATTTTAATTGTCCTCTTAACAGAAGCACGGCCCAAAAATGTCTTGAGCAGTTTTCTGGCGGTTCTAACACTCACCCTTGCTTTAAATTCAAGCAACACAACATGACGAAAATGCACCCTTCATCATACCTTAACCCTGGATACAAATTAGTTTAAATCAACTTCCTAGTACATCTTGACGCGCAAGGCCTCTAGATGACTGTGAGGCAATAACAGGACTATATGACAAACATCAGTGTAGTCACAGTACATGCTTCTGCCATGTTTAAAAATGGGGCAAGAAAATTTACAATCACCCAAAGCAAGCACAGTTGATTGACCCTATCAGACCATATTGCAGATTCTTGGTAAAACTACTGTACTTACATTATATAAGTAGATAGACTGATCATCATTAACTTTTCATGAATGAACTCAAGAGTGAGGACCATGTCCTCTCCAAGCGGTCTGGACACATCTAGATCCACAAGGAGCGACAACATAGAACCTTTGATTGGGAGGCCGTCGAATTGTCCTCGATTAATGAGGTCAAAAACGGCCTCTAGTCGCAGCAAACCCGCGATTACCTGGGAGAGACTGCGGGCCGCGAGGTCGCGGGTGAGGAAGGAGGCACGGAAGATCTGTTAAAAAGATTACGGCGATAATGAGGCGATGCTTTGTAGAAACAGTGATTACAGCCCGAGTACAGAATGGCGAAACCAACCTTAACTAATGTAAATTAAATACACCGATTGATGCTTTAAAATAACCATTTCGGAGCTTTCAGGAAAGCATAAAAGAAGGCCATAAAGCGGTCCAGGTCGGAAACAGGGCTAAGACTATCTTGAGCCGACGGAAAGCGTGGTGGCACGAGGGTGCGTCGAACATTATCTTAACCAACTTCGCGTGAGGCCTGTTGCCCAATGGTACCTCAGTGTTGAAGGAAAATGGGGCCATGAAGTGCTGAATGGACGTACTGAAATAACGAAACCGACCGTGGAGCGCACGAATCGACAGGCCTCGACTGCGGTGTAGTCGAACGCAGCGACGCCTCCGTTAGCCACGCAACTCATTTGAAGGCCCAAATTCTCGACCAAAGTGGATGCCTCTGGGAGAAGCAGATCCCGAGTTGCTGTAGCTGCAATGTTAATAAAACAGCAGTAAAAAACCAGTCACAAGAAAGTAGAAATTAGGTCAATTCGGACATAGAAATATCGCAAGTTGAAAAAAGTGTGCATTTTTTCACAATCTAGAAACAACATCAGCATTTTGAGGTGCCCTAATGTAAGACAAAGGCGGTGTTTCCGCGGAGTTCCAAGGAACAAAAAGGAGACGTGCAGTGCGATCTCCCTCTGCAACGGATCTCAAACAAACCTAAATTAAATAATACTAGCATGCGAGCATTCAAGCAGGTTTTGACAGCCGACTCTACTTCTATTGCTTCGAGGCTCGTTAGACTGACCGCCTCCCGAAGTAGTCCCATCACCCAGACGCGGTGCGCGCGTAACAAAAGGACACTTAGAGGAGTGTGACGCGAACGCAACGACGAATTTGTCGGGTAAGGCAGCTAACAGCAAAACCATGGTGCTTACAGTGGTGCAGAAAGTTCAAGTGTGAGATGGCCATGAGCGCGGAGTCAACTCTATCAACGTTGTCCGTTGTAGGCGCAGTGATCAAATTGGAGACAAGGAAGCTGACCATTTGGGCCTCCTTATCGCGATTATCCTCGGCCAAAACGTCCAGCATCCACTCTCGATAGACCCGAAGCAGCTCGTCGCAGTCGTCTGAGGGGACCAGGTGCGAGCACTGCGCCAGGTGGCTGCGACTCACGGATCTGCAGCACAAGAGCGACAACTCCCTCAGAATCTACCAATCTCAGATATGCGTGCTCATGTGGCCAGGGGTGACGCTGCATCAGTTCCACATGTTGGTGTATCCACTCATGACTTCGCTGGTTCAGGAGAGCCAGCAACGGTTTCCCTTGGCGTGTACTCTAGTTTCCACCAAAAATGAGTTGGCAGGGCTAAGATATAATGTTTGCTTAAACAAGTTCATGCAAAGATTTCTCAATTACGTAATGATTGTCGGAACGAATAATAAGCCTAATCAACTAAGGCCGCAATTTCGCATTCCTTAATAACACTCATGACGGCCAAGCCTAGCTAATGTCTCCTTTGTCACACTGGTGACAAACTGGAAGTTGGGCTTATCCCCTTCTTCTGGGAATATGTTCGTGACCTAAGTGCAACGAACTGTGCGGAAATAAGTTTCTTGGAACCAATTACACTTCCCAAATGTGTTTTGAGGAAGGGAAGGACCGACACTGCTCGACACTAACCGAATCTCGTTGTCTTTTTCCTGAGGTAGACAGACAAGGCGCAAATGTAAAAGTGTTGACGACGTACGCAAGAATACTTGGATTATTTGTGTACGAAGACACATTTAGTGCTCCGTCTGTGATCGGAGTTTTAGGTCGGAGTGGCGTGGTGCAAATCGGCATAGAGGGATTCTGATTCAAGGCGTCCTGAAGCAAGGCTCTGTCTCGTTCAGTTAACTGAAACAAACAAAACACGACACTGGGCGGGTGACGGTAGAAAAACAAATAGTACTGGTGTTGGGCATTGCAAGTACCTTCCCGGCCATTGCTGATATCTGTTGGGTGGTTAGGTTGCCACGAACAGCTCTGAGACACTCGAGGGCCGCCTGGATGACGCTAGCGTCGGGCGAGGCGACATGCTGTGCGATCGCCTTGATATCGGCAACAGTTGGGCCAGGAAGGCTTGGGAAACGCGCTATGAGAAGCTTGACCAGCACGAGGAGTTCTAGTGAAAGACGCAAATGAAGCAGGGAGAAATAAACTAGAAGTGGTCGATTTGGTGCGGTTACTTCATATTTAAGCAAAACCGTTCTCGAAACCATTAGACATTTGAATCCTAGCCTTCCAATTCAGCTCACAAACCCCCAACTGTACTAGTGGTTACCAAACCAGTTCAAAGCCCACAACAGAACGTAAGTTAAGATGTCCGTAAAAAAAACCATCGATAGAATGAGCACACTGATGCCCGTGTCAGTGATGGAGCCTCAACGGTGAGCTGACTTTTGGTTGGTAAAACCTAAACAATTCAATACCGATAGTGGCAAGTCAGGCGGTGAAAAATTAACGCATAAGGATGTCTTTAGGGAGGTGGCACATAGAAGATGGAGCACCTCCTCTGAAATTGCAATAATAAATACATAAATGCATAAACTTGAGAACCCATAGGGGCGGGTTCCTTCACCATCGTGATTCATAAAGGCCTTTGTACTGAAAGAGATAACACGAGATGTGCCTTCATACGGAGATTGAAAAAATCGCCACTTGTGGTATAGTAAAAGTGCGGCTGAAAGATGCTTAGTTTCTGATCCAATCGACTTGAATGTGGTAAAAACGGCGGCATGAGATCCATACTGGGAGGTGCCAAATACCTTTCGTCAAAAAATCTGGGACACCACAGACCTTATAGTATGAAACAAAGGTAAGAGGGACGGTATTAACACCATGGAGAAGATAGCCGATGCCGAAGAAACCAATACCTATTGACGCGATGCCAAAGCCACCACAAGTTGCGTGCGAGATAAAACGCGGAACACAGGGCCCACCCATGCCTTCTGGACTATGGGCGTGTGAAGGTTTAAATCCCAAGAGGCTGTGGGGAGTCCATGAATGGAACCCCGGTGGGGGGACCAACTTACCAACGAAAAACTTGGAGTCAGTGGGCACGTGTTGAGCCTGTTAACATGCCAAATCACACACTTCAGGCTAACTGAAGTCGTTTCATAAAATGATTTCACGCTTTCACGACAATCGAATTCGAAAACCGGCAATCATGACCTCTTAGAGCAGTAACCAAGTTAATACTAAGCGTTTATTGACCCCAAAGCCCTATCGTGTTAAGATTTATGTTGTCACAGTGAAATGATACCCACCTGTGACGATGTGGGTTTCAGTGACCATGCTTATGGCTTCCATGACTGCAAAGTAGATCTGGTTGGCTGAAACAACGCGACAAAGACCGAACAGGAGACCGGTGAGTCGACGGCACCGATCAGAAGATTGGCTGAAATATCGGTTGAGTAGTGGGGGTGAGAAAAGCGGCCAAGGCAACAGGATTCCGATTTCGGCAGGCGCCAAGGTCAACTTAGCATCTGCTAGACGAGTAATGAACTCATCAAGGTAATCCAGAGCTAGATTGAAAATGAAAAAAAGCCGTGACAGTGGGTAATATTTTAAAGGGATACAAAAGACGTAGGTGCGCAGTACTTCAGTCGAAAACACCTAATCATTAACAAAACAATTTATAAATGTTGCATCAGTCGAATTTGAGAACACTAGCGGTGATGGAAGTAAATGGATTCAAGAAAACAAAACACACCCTGCGACACCACATCAGGATCGAATTTTCCGGCACTGAAGCAAGATTCGACCATCCAGTGGAAGAGAAGGTCTGAATTTGCTAGTGTATCAAAGAGTAATTCTTGGTGGTGGTGTTGCTGCTTATCGGTGGCCTGCTGTTGAACTGGTGTCTGCTGAAGCAGGATGTGGGACAGGAGAACAAGGGTCTCTTTAGTCTTGTCCGGGTCTGAGTCCCAATGCGTCAACATACGCCGGAGGTTGGGGTGCACACCGGCTTCCACAAACTTCTCCTCCAGGCGCTCACGAGAAGGCTATCAAGTTTGGTATCCAAAAGAAAAACAAAAAGTAACACGTGCAACTAAAAAACACACATCGACCTCACAAGATCGCCTTGAATTTGTATCAGTTTTAAAAAACAATACTTCGATCTTGAGTTTAAACGAGTTTTATGAAGAAGCATTGGGAAGAGCGGAGTCTGGATAAGGAAGAAGAGAAACGTGGGATTATGTGTAGAGTCAAATAGAGAACCAACGGCGACTGGTTGAGATAAAAACTGCAACCAAAACACCTGCACGTATCTTAATGGTTGCATAAGACAACGTACCCTCCTTAAAAGAGAAGGAAGATACAGATCGGGCGTCAGTGTAAAGTATGACAGAAGCCACCAAAATATCTTATTCTCAGTTTTTTTAGATTGCGCAAACAGAGCAGAAAGTGGGTATGCCTACAGGGCTGGGGAAATCAGCATTCCCCGAAATCCTCTCTCGTAAAACTGGCGCTTCAATTTGTTTTAATTGTGGTCGTCATTCACACCATTTACTCACATCAACCGTCCCCGAATGCCTCAAGTCCTCCGTCAGGGTCACCCAAAGCACTGGGCGACTTTATTCGGCTTCACTTTATTCGGCTTCAGAGAGACTCTAAAACCCTCGCCAAGGGATCTCGTCTCTGGATTCGCATTGGGGAGGTAGGGACTCGTGCGTACGTCATCAACACTTTTACACTTGCACCTTGTATGTCTGCCTCCAAAAAACAAGATCCAATAGCGTTAATTGCCATGTCAGGTAAATGATAAGTTAGAGGGATTGACCATAGAGCTTAAAAGTACAGTAAACCGCGATAATTCAGGCCCATCAACACACCAACAAAAATTCCCACATGCGAAAAGGGGGTCGGCATGGCTGAGCGTGCACCTCAACTGACACACACACACACACCACGCGTCGTGGCATGATCTCTATTGGCTAACAATCTCGACTTGTCAAGTCCAGGGCGCGTTTGGGGCGTGGAGTACACGACACGACACAACAGGACCGAGAAATCAGATAAACGGTTGTTTCCATTTTCATCTCTCGTTGTACTCCTCCTGGGAGCCTGCATAGCGTAGTTGAGCCGAAACAATGTGACGGTCCTGGAAAGGTATGAAACTCACACAGCCACCCTTACCAACGGATAAACAGCAGAATCAATCAATCTATGGAAAAATTCTACAAATATAACAATAAGAAGAATTTAAATACCATGATCAATGGCAGATGCCACTCGCTACAGGCATTCAATTTCGAGCGCGAAGTGCAGGACTGCACTCTTGGATTGCATTAATAAAATAGAAGGCCTTACAATGCTCTGGTCGTCTCTGCCAAACCGGTCTTTAGGACCAGATGATTTTGTTCAAGTAATTACTATTTTAGCATGAAAACGAGGTGTTAGAAACCCGAAGCCTTTAATAAACCGAAGCTGCGACCGTTCAGAAATGAAGCAGAGCATCGTCTCCTTCTGCACCTACTTGTCAACGACTAAAATGAAGGAGCTACATACAGGGGTCCATACACGGTTCGGCATGCCATTTGACCAACTTTGCATGAAAACTCCACCCTGAGAAAGCTTCAAGAGTAATCGTTTGGCCAATGAACTCATTTGGTGGTGTGTGAGGGTAGGGTGGGGCACCACGTTAATTGATTGGAGGCTCATTGCGTATGACTTACATGGGAAGACCCAGTGGCCAGTTGGGCAAGACGAGCCTCTTTTGCCTTAAAATTGGCCGTCAGCAGGGGCACAGAAGTCGCGCAAAAGGTCGAAGAAAGACCAAGTGGAGATCGCTCCTCGTTAACAAAACTGTCCTCTGGTATCACGTTATCCACGACGTGGCACAAGGAGCGTTGAAGGGCTTCAGAGGGACTGTTCAAAACGGCCGTCATCCTATAGTATGATATTGAAGGTAAGGATTGAATATTGCCTTCTCTTAAGCATAATTTATACAGGGCTTCAACGGTAAAGAAGCCAAAGAATGCCCAAATATCGCGAAGGTGGACAGGCGGTCTGTTGAGTCCCCTCAACAAGAAGTGGATTTGGAACTTGAATCTGATTTATTCTTGGAACACTGTTGTCCTTTTAGTTTTACGAATTATCAGAAAAAATGGACGCCGGCATCACGAAACTATAAAACAGCACCTATTAAGCTTAAAGTAAAAAATCCTTCTACCACGTGCTATTACTTTGTCACGTACGAGGTGTCACAAAAGAAGAACCGGCAGGGATGCCAAATCCCAAACTCCTCGCTATGCCACGTTGATAAGGCATGCGCATTAAATACGAAAGCATCCAAAATCCGACAAGAGATACTTCAATTATCGACATTGGCGTATGATTCAAGCCCAGCTTTACCGACAAATCTGATTTCAAGATCTACTTACTGGCCTTGTCATTTACTACGTTCAAGGGGTATTTAGTGCTCGTCAATAAATACGCATGGCATTCCCTATTTCATAAACCACAAACAACATGGGATGAAATTCATGCATAGAGATTTAATTAAAACAGAAGGGAAAGAAAGGTAGTGGCTGAATTTAATTAAAGGCAGCCGTGTTTAGCTAAAAGTTGAGAGGAACCGCCAATATAACCTTCGATTGCAAAAATATTTAGGGAGTATTTTGTTTTCAAATGGACAACACTACAGTAGTAAATGTAATGCACATGAGGTTTCAACAAATCCACTAATCATTGCGCCATTTCCTCATAAGAAAGTGGGGAAACAAGCCAAAAACATGCAAATAAGATTAAAAATGGAATTAAAATCGAGTAAAATAGCAATTTTGTGCGAAGACCAAAAGCCAAGAGATTCCCTGAACAGAAACGGTGCAGTGGGTGTTGTTTAAATTCACCTTCAATTTTGGCACGTCGTAATCACACAAAAGCGACATCCGCAATGCCACCGCCCACAGTAGGAATATGAACACTGAAATGGCGACTTATAAGTAACGTAGAAAGGAAAGAGTGAAATTTGTCTTTTTGAGTTTCCCCGAAGTGTAAATTTCTGAGCGATTTCGACAATCAGGTGTTCGGAGGCCAGTGTTCACCAGCCAAAGAACCTACATTTAAAAATTGTGCTTTTCTTAGAGCATTAGTTGGGTCCAAAGGGACAATATACCTTCTCGACGTCGCGTCTGGTTGCCGATGAATCTCCACGGGTGGAGAGAGAGGAGCCTCAGTGACTGTTCGTCTTAGGTTTGCTCGAAGTGCTTCCTGACTTTGACCAGTCGCGACTTCGCAAGAGGGCTTCTGCCGCGCCTCAAACTCGGCGAGCAGCAGGGCCGCAATGGCGGGCTTGGTGGCCGACTCGAGGTCCGTCCGGAGGGTCGAAGAATTGGCGGGATTCTGACTCGTGTATATGGCACCGGCTAGTTTCACGTAGGCGTGACGGACAGCGTTTGAGGCGTTGGTGAATCCATCCTTCAGATATTTGGCTACTTTTGGGTAGCTCAAGCTGAGGTCAAGAAAATGGGCAAGGTTTCAATCGTCAAAGCCTTTACCCAAGCCTTTGTCAGTAACAAGATGGCTAACGCGGTGATGGAGCGAAAAGCACTTATCACGGGGATGAATATTGAGAAAAAAACTAGCAGGTTTGGACTAGCGAAAAACAGAGTGAAATCACTACATGGAACAATACACACCCATGTGGCCATTGCAACCGAAGATATTCGACATACCAACCACAGCTCATAAAATCTCAGCAAACTGATTTAGGGAAAAAACCCAAGTAAACACTTAGTTGCATGTTACCAATCTGTGAATGCACGTGACGTGGATGAGCAATCGCACATGTATCACGACGCAGGAGTTGAAGAAGTGGACTTCTAAAGAGTGCATCAAACTGGTGGCACAGAATTAAAGTGGCGTTTTCTAGAGGAGGAGGCAGAAAACCACCAGGCCAAATACCAAACTTCCGTGAAAAGCTACAACGTGCAGCTGTTGCAACCGGTAAAGCCACATATAGGCGGCAACGGCTCCATATCCAAAATCTGCAAGCACCAAATAGCGAGAGGTAAGGGAGCCTCACCAGAATCCAGAGCGCTCGATCGCAAGCGACAGCCAAAGAATGAGGTGCTCAGCCGACTTGGGCAGCTTCGCGGTCGCGGCGAGACGGAGGACGGCGTCGCTCACCACCGCGAGGTCGGTGGCGCGCTGCAGGGCCACAAAGCAGGCCTCACACTGGGGCAAGTTTTTCGGGTTGCCAATCGCAACGGCCAGGTTGCACACCAGAGTCTCGAACAGAGACTCACAGAGAAACGGCGCCTTCGAAGCTGTCAAAATGGCTGCAATTGTCTCCAAAAAACGGCATTTAACCTAGGTTTAGAAAGAGAAGGAATAAATGACCTACCGAAATGTAGGGTCGCAAATAGAATATAAGTCTCGAGTGATAAGTTAAAAATGTCGAAGTATGTTCGAATAGTAGCTACTTCCACGTCTCTGCATATCTTTTAGTCCAAATGATTGATTTACATCAAATTCATCCAGGGAGGTAAAATTTATAAGTCGCATAAAGGTAGAAATATTTGGACAAAATTTAGATAGATAACATACATGACTACGATAAAGTGTATTTGCATCAAAATATTGCAGGAATTTGGAACGAAAACTGCCACAACCGGTGAGTTCATGTCGATTATAAAGTGACGGGCCTCATTTCCGACGGCCAGTGGCCCAAATTCAAGTAAATTAACTGAAATTTGACCCGACAAACGAAAAAATTGAGTGATACTTTTATTAAGCCCAACAAAAATGACTCCAACAAAAAGAGGGCTTATCTGGAACCTTTTGGGAAATTGACTATTTCTCCGATATGGGCCACTCGGAAAAAGATAATACACTGCCTAGACGCTAAACATATTCGAAAAAATTGTGTAATAATTAACGAAGTGATAAAAAGATCGGGATTCAAACACTTAAATCCATCCATCGTTTAGGAATCTCGGCAATAAAGCGGTACACATTAAAGAAGAATGGGGTGAGGTAACTAGGCATTCTGAATACCCGACCATGGGCTTACTTTAGACATCAACACTGGGTTTACGGCTAAGACAGTGAGATATCGCAGTAAAAATATGAAAATGTTTGCAAGTTAGCAGGCGTATTCTAACAGAGTGAAACGGAAATCAGTTGCCTATTTTTTTTTCAAATAAATCTTTGAAAATTTAGACACATCATTGAAATACCTGCAGATTAGGCTCTTTGAAGCCTGGTGACTCCAGGAGAAGACGAAGTACCGATTGCGAGAAGGCAGGAGACTCAAGCGATAGATTAGGAACAGCGGAATAGAGCTTGTTTACCGATTCGAATCGTTCCCTCCAATTGCTCGAATTCAAATGATTAACTACATTTTCGGATATAGAACTACAAGAGAAATGGAAGCCAAACGTAAAAGTGTGCTACGCAAAACTTCAGATAACGCAAAGGCTCTGACACTGACAATTTTCGGATAGCGGCGTTATAATACTACGCGCCTAAGATATTCAGGGGGTGACAAATGTAAAAAGAACATTAATTGTAATCAGACATCCCCAACAGCCTGTTACCGAAGTTTTGAAAAGTCTGGTCGAAGCTTCGGCGACAATCACCATGAAAAATTATCGACTTGGATAATTTCAAGATTCTTGGCTTTCTAATTTTCGAAACTGTATTGCGGAGTGTCAAAAATGTGCAAATCACAGAGACGAAGAGTAAACTAACACTTGGCTAAGGATTCGCCTTAATTCATCTTCGGATAGGTGGTGTTCAGCGACGAACGCCCCGGAAGGTTGCGTCGAATTCGCGGCTCGGGGCGCCGTCTTCGACTTCTTAGCCTGAGGCGGACACAGTGACTCCTGTTCACCGCCTGCGGGAGGATTCAGCTTCGCAGCCGTCCTACGGCATGGCGTCCTATTCCCCTCATCGGCTAAAAGGTACAGATGCATTCATCAGTCCGACAATAAGTACCTTATCTCAGAATTTTCTTCATACCTGTTTAATTAAGGGAGTGCTACTTGGAAGAATTGAACCAACATGATCTGCGTGGGATCGTAGCACTAGATTTCTAGGGCGTAAAAAAATTTACTCAGCATTCTTGGGTTTTCAAGTGGGGATCAGGGCCTAGAATTTCGTAAGATGATAAGTGTCAGCGGTTTAAGCTCGATGAGAGTGTAACGAAGGGGAAATAATGGATGGTGATGCCAGTCCATAGAAAATGAGGCATCGAATACCGCAATAGTGAAACACAGCCGGCGAAACACATCCCCTTAAAGTTTCAATTAGGTGTATAAATGGAGAAGCAACAATAATCGTATTGATGAGTCCGATTAACTGTACGGTACTGAAATAGCCAATTAGAAGACAAAAGAGGCGAATTTCGCAGATATTATCGACTTTAGTTATACAAAAGATAGACGTTTAGCCGTAAATATAAAATAACCTGATTTTTACAGATAGTGGACATCATCTTGACGTTTTCCAATTTCACCGACTCGAGGTCTTTATAATAACAGAGGATGTATACGTAACAAAACTTATTGCTAGTCAAATACAAAAATCATCCACGACTTAACGTCTAAATCGCTTTGGGAATTATCTATAGAGACGACAATCTGAACACGATTCGACATTTTAAAGACATAAATATCGCCTTAGGCACCACCATCAAACGTCATACGAAATGTGGAATTAGTAGTTAAATGAGTACTCCGCTTTCTCAAAAGTGTAGACACATACCCGCTTTGTCTTCCATTTGCATAGCTTCCACATTGGACGACCCTTCCGAATTTATGGCAGTAGTTAAGCGATTAAAGGCCTGGTCCACACGCGCCCTTTTGGCCTCACCCAAGGTGTCTTGTGTGAGCCTCGAATAGGCCGAGTCGTCCGCGAGAAATACCTTAGCCGCAGCTATGGTATTGCATGTGGCGTCGCGCAGTCCATCAGTCCGCGCCTCCATGAGGGGAAGTAGGGGCACGAGGAGGCGCTTGAACAGTGCTCGTCGAGCTGGGAGACTGGATGAAAGGCGATCCGGAGTCTGCAGAAAGGCACGTCCCAGCAAACTCACGGCCTCTTCCATGGCATTTGGATTTGAGGTCTTATCAGCTAAGCAGGCTAAAACCGCCTCTGTCACGACGTCAATGGACAGCTAAAGAATAACAAATAGGTTAAAAAAGAGAAAAAGTCACACGGTTTCCCATTTGCGATGGAAACAGCTTTCTTTGACATGGCGATAAGATGGTACGGTTTTAATTTTACACAACTGAATTACCAATAATAAGTCGCAAATGTAGTATTAGTCGAAAATTTAACATTTGACACATACGAAAATTTCAAACATGGAGACAGCGTGTGGAACTTTTAACAAGCAGTTAGCCTCTGTCGTCGCCACTATTTTTGTGAGGCGACACAGTGGGTAAGCACACAAATTATCAGTCCAGATTGTTCCAGAAAATAGTGACGCAGGCAATTTCAGTTTCTGATTATAAAATGTACTTAGCATAACAATCTACAAACTCTTCAACAGGAACCATAAGTGGGAAGGTAGTAATTTTCGAATTTGGACTGAGTCTACGTACCCAAAAAATTGGAATGTAAGCCGCAATAAACAAAGAACTGAGTAAGAAGGAACAATGTCTACACACGAGTCCAGCCCAGTAAGATTGAGAGTAATTTCACGGCTCATTGTGTATAAGAATAGGTCTCTAAGCATCGATTGTACTTGATCAGTTGTTTCCATCACGAACTTCTGCGCAATATCAATAATTAAATTACTCAGAATTAAATACACGGTGAATAGTGGATTGCTACATACTTATACAGAAACATATACTATATTACAACATACCGTGTTTAAAGATGCATCGGCAGCAGAGCGAAGAGCACTTATGACGAAGGGTTTGCTGGTCCGGAATCCCGACAAACATGCCATTAGTGTCTGTCTGGACAACGAAGAAAATTCCTGTTTCATTGAGGTAGCTGCGCGAGTGATGATATTCGCTGCGGCTGCCACCAACTGTAAATGAGTATCAGTCGACATGACCTAAAAAGTCAATGCACCATGTTGAAAGTTATGGCGACGCATATGGATGGGTCTCAAAGTACAAGCAAGCTTACATTAATGACCGCACAAACCAGATCAGTAGCTTCTACTGGAGTACAGGTACCTTTGCGCAACTTGGCGTCGATTATGTCTAAGGCTTCCTTCCTCTCATTCCAGCGTTTTGAAGACTTAAAAGAAAGTTGGAGCATATGTCGTATGTAAATACAATAGAAAGTACGGAGATAAAACGAAATTCCTTACAAGTTTTTGAATATGCTCGGACATCAGAATTGACGAGAGTCCAGAGGCTGAAATGAAATAAAGCAGATTCAAAAAATAAGTCTAGTGAAAATTAATCATGATAACTAAAGCAACAAAGTAGAATAACCTTTACAGAGATAACAACGAAACGAAGAACAAGACCGCATATACAATGTTAAGATTAATTCAAATACGAGCATTAACAAACACGCATAATTACATCTGCAATGGTAAATCTCTCTGAGATTTTTAAGAAAAAAGCATTTTAACTGGATTGAATTTGTGGGCTTGCATGGAAAGTTGATGATTTACTTCCCGTTGCTAATTAACAGGTTATTAATAGTTCGGAATTGATCAAAGCTCATCAACCATTTCAACCAACAAAACCCCGAGGGTATGTGAGTGAAAAGGAAGAAAGAAACACAGTACTATACCAGACGTATTTCAATCAATTCAAATAAATTAAAGTAGAAAAAACTTAGAGCCGTTATTGGCGGACACTCAACAAACTATGTAGGGAGAAATTGGAGTACACCAATACATAGGCAACTAAAAGGCCTTGTTCATAAAAAAACTAGTGGATATAATTGGTAAAAGATTTGCGAACTAGCATTTCAAATTGGAGAAGCATCTACAAAGCAGAGAAATCCGTGTTTAGGGACCCAAAACTAATCAAAAGCAAACTCATTATAGGTCTAAATATCCAAAAAAATAACTAAGCAGCTTCGTGTCATTGCGAGATGCTAACCACTTTTAGGTTGTGTGGCGAAATTTTCAAAATTGAGAATAGTATCGACATTGTTGAAAACAATTTTCAAATAGCACCATTAGATGCTTCAAGACAAACCTCTTCCCCCTAAATTAAAAAAAAGGTAGCTACTGAATAACTCCGAAATCACAAACGTCAGGAGTTTTGCCTCACAAAATCATAACTAATAGTCCCGATACAAAAATGTCAGTGTAAATATAGTGAAATATCGACACTCAGAAACGACAACTATTGTTGCAAAATATAAAAAGACGTGAAATGAATAATCCGAACTACAACACTCGAGGAAAAGTGAACTTAAACAATACACAACAGATTATCCAGACGCGCAGGTGTTAGAAATGCATCGTTAATTAAGATACATAACTCTTTAACAACTTAATATATTGTTTGCAAGATTAGCTATATAGAATAGCTAAATAAAGATTTGTGAATCAAAGATTGATGCGATAGTGTTCGCAGTTGAAACTATAGTTAAACAAGATTTTAGGAGCCGTTAAATGCTTGCTTAGGACTGCAGATCCAACATTACATCAGCGCAATACTCGACAGAGCCAAACCTAAATGCAAACTTATATTGAAGTTACTGCTTATGACTTTGATGTTCACAGAAACTACCAACATCATTTAGATTTTTAGCACAACTTCATTCGGCCAAATATTTTGAAACCACTGGGAACTCAAGAGTAAAAACCAATTCGGAACAAAGTGACATGAACAAAAAAACCAAATTCAAAGTCCAATGGTGCTCAAAAAGTGCTGACAATAAGAAAAATACACAAAATGGATGATTATAAATAATATTAGAACGAATCAACTGACACTAATCCCACTGAAATTAAGACAATGAAGGCGCCTTTTAAGCCATATGGCCTTTGAGCGTAATAAAACAATTGATATTGAATTAATGTTGTCAGATAATATGCAATAAATACCCGTCACTTTTCTTTTAAATAATCTTTATGCAAGAAATCTTGCAAACTTTACATTCTGACATCAAATACAAGACTAGGTTGTGGCACCTTCTGCTTGAAATAAATACCACACATAAGAAATTTTTTTTATTTAGCTCTTTTTATTTAGCTTTTATTATTAACCTTTTATCAAAACAAGCTCAAGATGTCAACATCTAGGTTGAATTACATAGAAATTTTAAGATTTTTATAAGATATATTAATAATCAGCATGCCAAAATTTACATCTTCACAAGAGTTATTGTAATGTTAACTTGTCCTCCATATTTAAAATCGTACAATTCGGGAAATCAAAGCAAGTCGAATTGAAACTCGAGTTAATTGCAGATAATGATTCACCTCAAATTCGGGGAAACTAACTTCATATACGATAAATTATGAAAATGGTGCATGCCCAGACGTAGGCACAGAATATAAGAAATTAATTTATCCCCAATGAAATATATGCAATCTACTGCCTTAATCCTAAGCCCACTCCAAACGTAAAATGCTTAGTAATTAAAGTGTTATTGAATATTATATTGAGTGCTGAATAGGTGAAAATCGTGTGCTACCCAATCATACATTGATGGATGAAAACCATAGTTTATACTTATATTAGATTGAAATCTGATAATAGTTTGCTACAACGCCAATTATAAGTAACTTGTGAAGCGAAAAACTCATTTTTTAAAAAAATGGCATATATAGCATTCGAAAAATCCATGCTTTCTTAGGCGGAGGGATGTATGTCGATTTCTTCAAATTTTAAATAGTTTTGTGGCTATCATTTATTTAGTTGTGTTCTTTTATAGGTTAGGGAAATTCCTCTCCTAGCTACATAAAATTATATAGTAGGCTTTGTTTTGATTATTGACAGTGGTACTGGATGCGCTCTTTTAAATGATATTTCCACATTAGATTTGGGTATGTACCTGCCTCGCGGTTACAAAGTAAGCAATGTAGTCACAAGCTTTCCATTGCCTACTAGTACTTTGAATAAATATTAAAGTTTATAACAAAGTTGAGGCCTAACTTGCGAAGAATAAATGCCGAATCGAAACATTCGTCAGTGTAAAAGTTTTTCAGAGCGAACAGAAGAAACGAAAATAGTAAACAGCAAACGTATGCAGCAAGTATTTAAACATTCCGCATGTCTTTTTTAACTGTAAGTGGTATTTAGTAGAAATCTGAACTAAAACAACAGAGAAATCAAGACCAACATAGTATATTTTAACCATGTGTCTTAGCACCATTGCGACTGGCGAAGTGTTTTCTTTTGTCATAATTTTAAGGGAATCATAATTCCTACTAAGCAGAAGACAACACGTCCGGTGAAAGAGAGGGATTGAAGACGGACTAGGAAAAACGTGCCGCTTCTAAGGGAACCAACCAATTTATTTCAAAATTGAAATCACCAAGAGCAATTTTGCATAGGATGTGAGTGGAAGTCGATAGATCAATTATTAACACTATTCACTCTTGCCTAGTAAGACCTCCCCCAAACGATCTGATTGCTACTTGAATCAAGTAAGGTTAACAATATTGTGAATAAATTAATTACTAGTTGCGTTTAAGTTACTTTATAAAGTAAGTACCCTAATGATTTTGAAAACTGTCTCTTTTATCTTTACTAATGAGACTGTTAAACCCTTACTGGATATCAGGGATTTCAATTTAAAGCTTATCAATTATCTACATGAACAAGTCATACTAAAATTATGTACAATTACCTTTAATAGGATTTAAAGCCATCATGAACAAGTGATACAAAAAAATTCTAAAACAATTATTCTGGATTACCTAATTTGCAAAATTTGCTTCAGAGGAATATTCAATAACCCAAAAACTGAATATGGCTTCGTTCTTGTGTTAAATTATTCCCAGGTTGGACATATTGAAATTTGGGCGAGCACCATTTACAAGCTCTATGACTCAAAACTCAATGGCCTGCATTATGATTGAACAAATATCGTAGGCGTTGTTTAATTATGGTACACTTAACAGACCTTGAGAGAATCCTTGCGCCAAAAATTGACACTGGTGCTACCCATAGCTAGAGTCCTTTTCCAATATCACGCTGTAAAACAGCGATAAATTACATATTAGAATTGAGCCCAATGCAACCTTCGAAAAGGAAAATGTAACATTAGGGTTGTGTTCAGTAAACTCAGCAGAATTGCTCGATTTTAAACCTTACCGTCTCTCTCAAAACATTTCACACAACCCACTGTATAGCAGGTGCCTGTCTACGTGAGCTCGTGTGCAGCAGAAACTGAGCTCCGGGTTGCAATGCAGGTGTGAAGAGCAGAACATCATGCGTGAATTGGGTTGGCGGATTCTAGCTCCATTAAACATATTTTAGAAACACATGCCAGGACGCGCGGTTGAAATGGGTACACACTATGGCTAGAAATTACATATATTTTCAGTGATTCCGTCGTCAAAAGAGAGAGCGGTAGCAGAAAGTTAGATAATAAAGATGTTGATTGGAAATGTGAGGTTTATGGGGAGGGGCACAGTTTAGTAAATACACAAAAGGCGCTTTTACGAATTTCTTGGACTAAACGAAAGCGCGGTCAAGGCACCAATCCCTTGAGGGCTTCGTTCATTGTGTCCATTTCCTTCCGAATCTTGTCATTCTCAGCACGCTGCTTGGCAATTTGCTCTAGAGAACCAAGCAATAAAGTAATTAAAAGGCATGCATTTGAGCTAACACATTCAACACAGTACAGGTATCCTAAAACTTAGAATATTCAACTTTGAATTTTTTCAAAAAATAAACAAAAGACACCAATGTATCCAACACAAACGACGAAAAAGTCTCCTTATTAAAATAAGTAAGCTAAATAACTTGCATTAACACCCACACAAATTAGTCTTTTTGCAATGCATTTCATTTTTGCAAGGTCAGAATGGTTTGTCACAAAGTTGATAAGCTCGTTACTCATTTTAGTAACAACATCCCAAGAGAAGCCGGTAAATCATGTAATAAGCAAAGTGATAAATAAGCAACAGTTGATCGTTCTCAAATAACTCATTACGCAGTTGAACAAAACTCAAAAGCAACACAGGCAATATCTTCAAAAGTTGGTTCCAAAAAAATGAGAACGGTTGAAAAACTTCACTGTGAAAGTGATAAAATTGATAACATGCTTCGATGACTAAGTGAGAAGACCCAATGTAATTTAAAATATAACAAGATACTATCAAAGAAAATAGAGAGCGATGGGATCGAGAACGAAAAGGAGAGGTATTTACGCCTTTCATCACAACGGTTTTACGATGTGTAGAGCGAAGACTAATTCGAAAGGAGTGGGCGCTGATAGAAGATGAGGTGAATTGCTTGGTGCTGCAACCTGGCTGGCACGAGTAGTCACAAAACTAGACTCAGAGGACAGCATTTTCCCTCATCTGGTAATTCGCAAAACAACTATGTTTAGGTAGACCCCGAGAGGATCATAAAGGCCTGTTATTAATTCTAAACACGCGAGATTTTTGAATTTTTGCTAGTTAACTATGAAAAGGGAACTTACGTTTGGTGTTTTCTATTGACTGAGCATAGGCCGCACCATTACGCTCCGAAATTTCTGCAGCGCGAACAGCCTAAAGCGAAAACAGAACAGAAAGACAGCAAACATTCCAAGTTTCTTGAGTAGACCATTGCGCAATAATGAGGCAAAAGATGGAGAACGTCAAAGGGGCCTGTACACGGTCCAAGTAAATATACTTATATTGAGGTAATAATTGTGGTCTGATGGAATTTTGAACAATGTAAAAAATGAGGAAGTAAAGGAAATGCAACTCTGGGTGTAGGTGCCAATTGTGACCCGTTCCGAATACTACACGAAATTGCATGAAAAACTAGAAGGATCATTGGACAGTGAAGGATAAATTCTGTGGCAGGTTGAAGTCCAACAACTCAAATGTCTATAAAACGACGTCCGAAATGGACAAAATCAACAAGGAGTTAGACTCCACACTAATTGATTGGCTAAACATTTTGATCTGGCTTAAAATTCCACCCAAAGTGAAGTAGAACTTTGAATTTTTTTCCTTTAGTCAGATTGGGGATAAAGGAATGTCCGACTTTCGTCATATTGTTTCAGATCAAATTTATTATAACTTCGTCTCCTATTTTGGTTTCAGATGTCAAAGATTCAACGGAATTTATGTTCACAAATACATTCCCATTTAAGTATGGCTTTCAATTTGTTACTATTACCTATTGTTATTACCTATTCACAAACTTGACACTTGAAGGGAGACGCGAGGCGCTACATTTAATCAAGCTGAGGGTTAAGTTCGGACACTCGAAATGCCGACTGGGACTTATAGGTAGATTCATGAGCCAAAATACGGTTACACGTAGCGCCTTTGTTTTTTAACGTAGGTAATTTCAAAAGGTTTAGACGCACATTACCATGTTGATCCCCAGATGGCTAATAAGAGTCGAAAACTCTCGACTACCAAAAGGTGCTGATTATAAAACCTCGCAATTCAGAAAATATTCGGGACATTACGATGTAAAACGGCTTGTGAATGCAGATCTGTGATGGCACAGTCTAACAAAAAGCACCATTCATTGTCAATTGGTTTATATGAGTGTGTAAGAAATATTCAGTACAAAAACACATCTAGAGGTAGTAAGCACTAATAGAAAAACAGTAACGTTTGAGCGAAAAAAGGCTGTGCTAGTAGTGTCAAATCAAATTTAACACAAAGTAGTGCCGGTATTTATCACAATAAGGAGCGAAGGCGGTCCGCAACATGAATGCCACAAGGACCTGGGCAATGCACAGACAGGGACTGCTTCGACAAACTAACTGTGCTGGAATCTTTACTGAAGCTAGATAGAGCCAGGTTCATATTAATGGGATATTACTGCATTTCATACCACAAATCGCAAGTTAAAAAAATTACAACACTGTCGAAACGAACCTCGTCAAGTTTTCTCTGGAGATCCGCAACCTTTTCGGCCAAATCGCCATCATCCTAAATTTGGGATTGTACAGAAATAAATGTTGAAAAATTAAACATTTTAAGATCGGTCACACAAGCCAGTGGATAACGTGAACATTTGATTATAAGCTCTCGGTGAATAGTGAGCAGCAGTTTTGTTTAAGGCGTAGTAGCCAAAAGTAGATGACCTTTACACCCGCTGGGGAAAGTTACGGAAGGTCCGCTGGAATGAAAGACCTGATTAAAGGGACCCGGGATTTTTTTCAAAATCCCGTATTATTTGTCTTATGCTTCCTCGATGAGCGCGTCGTAGATTGACGTGAAAGGCATTGGTATCATCCAAAAGATCAACATGCGATGACATGCCTGATATGCTGCTTAAATCATACGAAACAGGATTGTCCCCGCGATCTGACAAAAAAGGAACCAGATACACATTCGATACCCCACGTTATCGTCTTCCTATCAAAATTTATACACGTTTCGGTGATGTCACCGAGGAATTCGGCTTGGCTTGCCTTCGATCTTTCGTTGGACTTGTCTTGCATTATTTGTGAATATACAGAAGAAAGTAAAGGTAAGCAGAATAGAACTGCGGAAGAGTGTAATAGAATCTAGGCTAAACTTCCATTCCTACAGACTCTCATGAAGTACTATTGTAAATTTCGTTTATGGAATGAGATCAAAGCGAACAATCCGCCAATTCGGAGCGTTAAAAAGAGATCTCATCGAGTTATAGCTCATTCCAACTGACTCCAGTACCGTTAAAGCAACATCGATAGAACGGGTGTTGGATTGTCACCCCAATTTTCTCAAAAACCTTAGCGTAAGATTAAATTTCAGTTGGTAAGGGAGCAGATGCTGACAGCAAAATATTTTCCAGGGATTGTAAGTGGCATTAACACATCCCCGATTGATTTAGCTATAAAATTTAACCTACGGGATTCATCGAAAAAACTGGTCAAATAGTATAAAAAACAACTGGTTAAGCCCTTGAACACACGAAAATGGCAGCAAGTACTTTTTAAAGGATCTCAGTAACGGTTTATCTAAATAAAACGTCAGATAATTTTCGACTTAAAGTCGCAGTAGCTTTAAAATACTCTTGCGAAACATTCAAGGTCAAAATCGTCTATTAAGTAAATGCCCTCACTCACAAGGCAGGAGTGACGCGAGACCTCGCCAGAGAGAGGCAAAAGGGTCTGGCAACGAAGCAAGGTGTGCGAACAAATTCACACACTCGCTCAGCACAAAACAAAAACCAATGAACCTACGTTTGAAGATGCGAACAAGAATTCTGGACTGACCTACTTACGTGGTTCAAAATTTAACTCTCTCCAAGCTGTTCGTCACATCAGAACAAGCCCCTCACTTAAAGAAAGAACACAGGAACCCTCACGGCGAGCCAATTACTGAACTAAACTAGTTTTTCATAAATTAAAAACCACGTAGGTCTTTGAAATTCAGTCCGCTGCAACAAAAGGTGCATTGGAGTAAGAATACTAAAGCGAAAACCTTTAAATTTAGATTTTTTAATGGCGATTCAGTCCTTCAAAACATCGCTGCGAATGGATCGTATATTAAGCACGCACACTTAATGACCACTGAGTGAAATTACGTTGCTTTAATGTTAAAGCAAAGGGAATGGTTCGAACCTTGTACAAAGGAATTGTTTGGCCATGGGATTCTCTGACAACACAGAAGAAAGAAGTATTCTGATTTTGTGAGAGGATTTTCGAATTTGTGGCCTCAAAACACTGTGAGGTGCTTCAGAAGTAAAAACTAATGGCTCATGCCTGTATTTTACGGATTAGTTCACAGTTTTATCTGACTACACTACTAGTATGTGTCATAGGGTCTAATATAAAACTCAAAAACAAATTCATAATACTTAAACCAGAAGCCCTCTCTATTTCTGTCTGAATTTCCACGAGGGCACTGCATTGGCAAATCAAGTAAAGCCATGAGACGTGATAATGCAATCGCAAGCACGCACGAAGCGTGTACCTGCTTCATACACGGGTGCTTATCAAGAAACAAAGGGATCCTCAGAAAGCACCAGCTCTCTTGTAAACAAAAATATGCAAAATAAGTAGCAAACAAAAGCGAATGCGCTACTTGCGTAAAATTACAACGTTTTGCTCCCGATACAAAAAACCGACAAGATTTTCATTAATCTTGTTTATGCGTCTCGTAGAATGAAAAAAACTGGCCTAAGCCCTAACGAACCTTCTAATAAGAAGTACAGCGAACACACAATTGTCAAGCCATTTCAATAAAGCAAAATTCCAATGAAGTGTCGCATCTTTTGGTGCATTGTCTAAACGTCGCGCAAATAAACATAAGTAATGGTGGTAATACAAGAACAAGAGATAAAGAAAAAGCATAAACATAAGAGCAAAGGTGTTAAGGGTGCAAAGATAAGTAAAGAAAGTAGATAAGCAAATTAAGTTCGTGTTCTAGGATTCAGATGAAAAGAGTATTTGAAATATGCATTGCCTTTCCTCAGCATTTTTTCCATTAGGATAGGAATTCAAATGCTATTATTAATTGCCACAAAAGAATGCATTCTCGCTAGTAGTTATTACGTGATACGTATTTAAGCATCGAGATTCACGATGACTATCTGACTAGGTGCCTTTTGTCAATGAGACGACATCACATCTGTCCCATGCAATTTACGATCCTTCTTATAGGGACGCATTAGTTCAAGACAGCACAAAAAAGAGCAAATGAAGCCAGTTCGTCGAATGTCCAGTTATCGAGCCATACAGCAATTATCAAGTATTTCATAGTAAGCAAAAACTGCGGTGCCAAAATGCAAGAATTCCTTCCAATAAGTCTGCTGAAGTCTTAAAGTTTTACAGGAAGATTGAGTGCACGAAACTGGGATAAAGAGTAAGCACTTTGGTTTCACTGAGGGAAATAAAACTGCTGACACAAATTATTGAGCAAATTTAACACACAAGGGAAATAGGAGAATAATAAAAACGGACAAGGACATTGACGTTAAGTGCATCGACATAAAGGCTGCTGTTAGAGCGCGTGTGTTTTATCGACTAACCTCAAAATCTTTCGACTTAAATATTTCCACTTGCGTGTTGACGTCTTTAAAGCCCTCTTCTAGCCGTTTAGCCTCACTAAGTGAATCAAATAATACAAATTTAAAAATTCCAGACATACGCCTCCTTAAGCTCCGCACGCTTGAGCATTCTGTCGCGATTTTGCTCAATGTGGATGAGACGCTTTTTCAATTCCTCATACATCATATCGTTCTTGTTGGCCTTTTCTTGGGCTTCCTTAAGTTCGTCAAGCAACCTATCGTGTTTCTCATCGGCATCATTACGTTTTGCTGTGAGACTTTCGGGTGACCTTTAAAGAGAGGCAGGGTCAGCAGTGAAGTAGCAGGACTCACTCGATGGCATCAGGAAAATCTGTCTGTAATTTTCGGATTTTGTCAAGTGCGGCCTTCTCTTGAGACGAGGTCTTACTGATTTTCTGTTGAAGTAGAATTTCTTGGTGCTGAAGCGAAAGCTTGCTCTGTTCTAGCTGTAGTTATGGATTTTTAAGTGAGGAAATTCTACCAACTTCGTAATTTTGCTCTTGAGCTTGTTTGATAAGAGCATCCATTTCTTCTATTTGAGATTGAAGACTTTCCTGCTGAACTTTAAGCTCATTTATCGCATTACGAACACCAGCCATTGTTTTGTCTGTGTGTGTCGTTTACTAATTCTCAAGTCTAAATAAGAAATTAATTAAAACGGCATTAACCAAAACACAATTCGCCAAATCTAATGTAATGACCAATCAAATAACGATTCCATTTCAAATAATTCAACCCAAAAACAAAATATAAGTAGGTCCCAGTAACATATAGTTAGCCCGCTGACAAAAGAAATTAAAGAATAATGCCATTGTTTAGACAGCAACAGCAAGTGAATTATTATTTTGCCTACCTTAAATAGCCTAGCGTTAACATATCACAAGGGCGATCGAAAAATAAAGACATACAAACAGGAATTATGACAGCAGAAATAATATTCAAAACCTGAAAGAAGATTCACCTTAACATTTTATGCTCCAATACACGTATTGGACCATATTTTTCATCAAACTATCAACAGAACGATCACGCTTGTTTCAAGTGGACTTTGATGAGTATTATGTACGTATCACAATGACGAAATTTATCCCGATGGGCTTTAGTTTCTATCAAAATTGATGTTAACGTTTAACAAAAAGGCTTATATTGCAGTAACGTTTCGCAAATTGGAGGCGATTGAGCAAGGTGCAGGTAAAACTTTTGCAGGTGGCTCATGCAATTTTGTCCCACTTTCTCTTTAATTTAACCTATCATAAGAAATTTCAGTAACATTCCACGGAACAGTTTCACAAAAATAATCAAATTTAATGCCAGATAGGAATTTGATGCATTGTTTCTAATGCGTGTGGGGGCTCTGATTATTTAATGTCACTGTGTGCATGAAAAGAATAAAGTCTTGGATGAAAATACTCGTACGACACCTGAGGCACAACACGGTGGAGCAAGCTTAGTGACATTGTTAGTGCTGCCTTACAACCCTAACAAGACAGGCGACATCGTATAGGAGAGTTTATCAGATTCAGGTTACCGCAGTCTTTTTATATAAGAGTTAAAATCAACAGCCATCTGTTATCGACAATCGCTAGCACACGATCAACCCTTGAATAGACATCACTCACGCCCTTTCGTGGAAAGTTCACTACACACCATGGACACTGCGAAACCTACTGCTTTGCAGTTACAGTTCCAATGCGAGCTAAGCGAAATTCTTCACCAACCAAAGTACAGGCATGGTTAATCGCTTGCAAATCGGGTGTATTTTCTGGTAGATAGACCAAGAGTTAAACTTCACTCTAACTTTTCTCAGAAACCAGTAGCTGTTTACATTAATTTTCTTGGCGTAGTACTGATAGCAAATTCAACTTCAACATACCCTAAAGTCAAAATGTCATTATGTAACAATGTTAGTGTTCCCGCTGAATGTATAATAACATACTTTTGAATGAATTAGACAATACAATAATACAAGATGCAAGAACCTATAAAAACAATCCTTTTGGCAAACATAAGCCATTTTTAGTTTGACTTAGCACTAAGAAATGCAAAAAAGCATTCACACAAACATGTGTTTAATGTTTAGCAAACAAAGAGGATTAGGTTTGGAAAATGTAACGTCTACATCAGTTGATTGTAGTTACAAATTTATTAGACTGGCTTTGGAAATTAACAGATAATAATGAATGCTAGTTTATACTAAATATAATGATTTCCAACATATTTCTACAGTTTTAAAGAGGGAGGTCTGCTTATCACGAGCCAATAAATTACTTTTTCTCAGGGTAATGTACAATGCATATTCTAATAAACGAAAATGACAAAAGGTGAAAAACCAGTTACATTTTCTTGGCATGTAATATACCAGAGTAAACCACTGTGTGTACCTGAACAAAAATGTGAAGCACTTAATGATACGAGTTAGAAAATTGCGGTTCTCCTGATCATATCTTGATGAGAGACACTGAAAGATTTTTTAACTAATTAACTTCTACAAATGAAACACCTAGATGAACCCACACATACTTGTACAATTGTGTGCCGTATATTTGTTGTTATTAATATAGTTTCCTGAACGTAATGAAGAATAAGACAATAGAGCACATAATTTGTCATCAGTGCACCAGAACACAACAAGTGCATTGAGACAAACATAAAAGTGCATTGAAATGGACTAGACAAAGTTATTTCGAAAACAAGTCCACTGAATAGGCTTAATTCACATTAAGTAAAACAGCCAACAACGTACCAAGAAACACGCGTCAAAGTCAAATAAGCGCAAACAAAACAAGGTTGAAAAGCCGCGTGAGCGACGGCCTCACCATCGAACCAATAGCACTCGGGGCAATTCAATTCAATTGTAAAAGTACATAGGCCAGCCTTTGATTCGGCAGATTACTGTTTCCGTATATATTGCTAAATTATGGAATAGACATTACATTTTTGTAGACAAAAAAGTTTATTTGATGCAAGGTTTATGTGTTTTATTTCGATCAGTATATAAACAATCCCCCTACCTTGAATGCTGACTTAAACAACGCGGTGTCTTTTAACACTTACGTGAGAAACGTGAGAGACGATAAGTGTGAACAGCAGTATTTAATACCGTAGCCTACACGCAACTGATCAGTCGGCCAGTTAAGGAAGGGGAATTTGAGTACCAGATGAGTTTGCCAACGATGTATACTGGACTTAGGGGTGGGGGGGGGTATAGTAGAGGACGAAGCTGTAGGATTATGAGCGTGGTTTTCAGCAAACTAACATCATTAGCAAACGTGAGGAAAAAAATTTAGTTAAGCTAGTTGAAAACGCTTCAAGCAGCTATGATCGTTCAGCGATCGATTTTAGGCGAAACTATTTAAATTAAAAACTGACAACCACACTAATACTCGATCACTAAATAAAATAAACCATGTGTTATTTTCCTCTCCCCTCTTTCCAGATTGGTCCTTGTCATTGCAGGTCATTTGGCCATGTTGTTATTCGAAGACCACATTGAAGGATCTTCTACAGTGGTATCCCCGCTCGCAAACACATTTAGTATTCTACGAGTTAAAAATCAACAGTTTTATGAGAATGCCCAGGAAACGCTCTGATTCGATTCGACTGACTCATTCTTAACCGTCTAGTTAAGCTTAAAAATGGTTTACATTTTTCTCCTGTTTGGTTTGCCGCAGTTCTCAATCTACTTTCATCTGGTCCCTCGATAGTTGATCTACTCGACTCCCAATTTTCTATCTCGTCTACCTCTTAACAACGAACATTCATTTAGCTGCGACACACCATCAGCAGAGCTTTAAGTGAAAGAAAAATGTCCGTCGATTCCGGTCCACCCATTAGTTACGCCTTTGTTCCCGACACTACACACTCCCAATTCTAGGGTCAACCTTTTAGATACCCTGCTAGAAGAAAAAGTTTGTTCATCAACCTTATCAATGCATTTCGTTCTCATAAAAATTATAGTCTACCTTTTAAAATCCCTCCTGGAATAAAAGTTTCGCTAAGTCCTTTTTTTCAAATAGGGAGAGCTGTGGCTATCAGAGAGCGAATATCATTACCAAGCGTGGGCAAGGACGGATTCAGTCGACTAATTTGAAAAGACTTCACGTAGCTATGTTTCTTCGGAGATCGATGTTAAACTATCCTATGTAAACAAACGAATTTTACCCACGCTATAACCATGTAGGTTAATCAGTTAAACTACACGTTATCCACGGTCTGTTCTTTGTTCTTGGTCAGGCCCTAACAGTGTGGGTCACGTGGCATTAGTTTGATTCTAGGATCACACTAGGAGCTTCAACAGGATTACTTTCAGATGCATTTTGATGTGGGGATTTGTTCAAATCTATAGATGCTAAGACAAAAATTGAAGTAAGCAGAAGGGTGGCGTGGTGCTCGGCGTAAACCATAATGCCTCATTTTTTGATGAACACTAATCTCAATTCGGGTCAGAAGGTGAACAGTGGAGCATCAATCACAGCAGTGTAGTTGATCGGAGCGTTAGAATTGGGCATGATTTCCTTGGTGTTGGGGGGCGGGTCACATAATGTTCAGACTTTAATTAATTAAATTAGGCGATTAGGTGAACAAAAAATGTGTGTGTGTGTGTGTGTGTTATTGTGGTGTGATTGCTGTTGCCAAAGCGAATCTCATGGTTAGGTCCTCCATTTGCCTGGCAATCATAGATTAGGTTTTGATGTTTTTGACTGAAGATGAGATGTCGCCAAACAAGGTTGCTTTTCTCACGAAAGACACCCACCACTTTTACCATGGAGTCACTTGAGTTAGACAATGTCGGATGTCGAGAAAACTATGTATCTGAAGGGGCATGAAATTCCTGGCTGAACATCATGAAGGCATTAGTAAAACCGGTGGATAGGAGGACCGTGAAAATTTAGGAGAGCAAACAATGAAATATAAGTTTGTCCCAGATATCAACATTGAATTCTAAGATAATCGTTTGAAAGGCGTTAGATTGAATTCATTTGTTTCTTCTCTCCGATTAGTGTACATGGGATGGTGAGGAGAGGGAGGGGTGTTCACGAAGCGTAATGCCTCAGAGTTCCTCCGAAGACCAAACCATAAAGTTTGGCTCTTCACTGAAAAAAAGCATAACCCTCCCACTTTATCTTGTCAACGTCGTTGGCTCACGCACCACTGGAGCTCAAATTCTCTTCCCCTACCGGTCGACTAATCGATTACATTAAGAATACAGTCTTATTAGCTGACTTTAACACTCGTCTTTTATTTCATATAAACTGAAGCCTTCTCGCTCATTACAGAAAGTGGAGTCTTTGCCGCAATTGTGGTTTTCAGATCCGGTGTCAGTAAAATGACAGCAACTTCTCCGACTCATTTTGAAATTTTACGGAAATTTATTCGGTCCCTGGAACTCACTTGTCACATGAAATCACTTTTGTTACACATGACTATTCAATCGTTTTATTTTGACGTCGTTGTTAGTCTTGTTGCTCGTTTTCAACTTATGTTTCAATTTACGAGGTAAGGTGCACATATGTCCTCGAGAAATCGACCAATATTTTTGAGGATATTCGTTGCGTTTTCTTGGAGGTTTATACCGCCACCCCGACAGTTATAAATTCTGTACAAAGTTAATAAAGCAATTTTAATGCAATTTTGACCACAGTCAATCGGCATGTCATGTTTTGTAAATCTTAATTTTCATTTATTTGGGCCATTTATATAAAGTTGAGCGTCCAGTGTGACTGGTCCATAAGAATAACCTAAGTGTATACGTCTTTTGACCCTGCTTCTTACTGCTTGGCAGCGACGGAGCTGTCATGCGGTAATTTCACTTAAAACCGCAATTTTTATCTGCGGGTCATTTTACCCCTTGCAGTGAATGAATATTTTCAGTCAAATAAAGTGCATAGTTTGGCTTCATGCAACAGTTTAGCAAAGCCAGTTACTTTCAGACTCTGATCCGATTATCATCATATTGATTCCTCATTTTAGATGTAAAGAATTTAAAGCAAGAGCCGGCATGAAATACCAACATAGATATAGGAGATTGCCTTATTGACCGTTGCTTGTTACTCAGGAGCTTTAGCGAACTTTCCATCAAGTGATAAATCAGTCTAAGTTGCCTCCTGACGCTTGGTATGCTTGCATATTCATCCTACGCACTAGCTGACATCATTTAAGGTATGCATCGGTTCATGAGATTTACTCAAAGTTCAGATTAACTGTGTAATTAAACCTCTTGACTATGGAATGGGATATTCCCTTCAATGTCAATTTCAGCAGGTCCACAAGTGTGCGAAATTGGGGATACCCTGGAGCGTGAGCCCGAATCCGCAAGTATCTACAATTTCTATTAACGAAATGTTGCACAACCCACATAATCTAACTGTTGTATACATTTTCTACTGTTACTTGTGAGGGAGTAGTATTACCGTCTGTCGAATCCAATGAGAGCAGACTGGACAAAATTAGGGACATATTTAATTGGGTAAACCGTCGTGTGCGGCTTCAAATTCAAACCATGTCTACACAACTAATTTCTGGCTAATGACCAATCATCTTAGAGATGCGTGTGTGCGATTGGTATCTGAGAGAGACGTACTTCCTGTCTAAACGCTCAGGCTGACACGTCAGATTTTGCATTATTTCTATATGAATGTTTGATTCGGATAACTAAATTGTAGGACAAGCGTGCGATACAGTCTTTAATCATCACCAGATTAACATATTGAGACAAATTCGTTTCAATAATTACTTGCTTCCTTTTGTCATTATTGACCATTTAATGCATGGGTTTCGGCTCATCTCAACCACAAACAACCTTGCCTAGTGGTTTAGCAAACGCTCATGCCCGCCATTGGCAGCAGTCTCTGCGCATCGCAAGTAACATCAGGGCACAACACTCGTTTCTTCGAAAAATTAGAGCAAAACACCCTTAATAGTAAGGCGCAAACATCATGCTGTCTTAGGGATGATGTCTGAGGATCTTCAAACTAAGCTCCCGCAATCTCCAGAGTTAAATGGTTCAACTGCCGATTAACTAAACGGCTAAACTGCCTACTACACTACCACAGTCGGTGACTGCCTCTTTTCGATCACAGAAGCGTGCAAGCAATGAACAACCACAAATTACTTCGAATGCATCACCGATCAAGATTTTGTTCATACTGCACCTAACCAGAATAGTGTTGGAAACGTACCCAAGGGAACCAGCCCTCATTTAAGACAAAAGTCACTACCTTTCTGCCACCCATGGAAATATTATTGCGTAAGCAACTAGCGCACGCTTACGAACTCGCTTGTCTGTTCTGCGGCAATTCAGGACATTGGTAAAATAGTCACAAAGATTTCGCACATGATGATGTAAAGTTTTAAATGACGCGGCTAGTCGGTTTACGATAACGGAGTTTTTGATGTAGCAGCACGTACGGATTATTGTGACTTATTAGAACTTGAAATGGTGGGTATTTGCTGGATTAGCAATATCTGATGCCGCATTTCTACATGCAGTCGAGATAAAATATAGTCAACTGGAAAATATCAAGGTGTTTTTAAGGAATTTAATATCCTATTGTAGCGAAAAATATTTTTTTAGAAGCACAAGAAATTTATACAAATTAAGCTACTGTGGAAACACAACTGATGTGACACGAAAAAAGCATCTAAAATGTACAATTTGAAATGGAATCAAAGGTGAGATGATCCGGTGGAAGATGGGGCAAGAGCTTGGCGAAGGCGATCACCAGAATGCGCACCTGGAAATAACAACAACAACATGAACAACGTGAACATTTATCCAGTCAACGCCAATAAGCCAAGTAAAAGTCGACTTCCTCCAGGCACATTGCACGCATTAACCACTGATTTGTGACGGCCTGGAGGTGCAAACAGGTGGCAAAGTTGGCCGCACTGTGTTGGACAAGGGCCACAAAGGACACAGCATTGAGGCAAATTTTAGCCTCCTCTGTGTTTCATTTACGAAACTAATCGGTAGGTGCGTGGCTTAGAATCTAGGGGAGCGAGAGAGAAGCACTCAGTTGTGGTGAATTTTTAAAAGCGTGCATTTCTGCGCCTTGGAACAGTTGCTACATACATAGGGAGATCTAAACGCTGAAATAGACCTTTTAGTTCTTAGACTTGTTTTACCTTTAGGAAAACAATGGGCCAATAAATTCATGGTTTTAACAATAAGCTTGGTCTACTTCGTTTCCGCCAGTTTTTAAGCCGTCCGACCCTAATAGCTATTTGTACTAGCTAGGTTTTTTTAGTTTCTCATTTTTAATCAAAACATGAAATTTGCCGTCAGTAACACAGTACCTTTTTTAATTTAATGTTTCAAAAAACGCGTTGCTTCAAAATCTTTTTTTCCTTGGAGTTTTAGCAATTTATACTCCATTAAGATATCAAGGTGGTTGGCGGAAGTGTCCCGCTGCATTTCTTTTAGTTGCTCTTCCAATTAAAAAAACGCTGCACCGATCTAAACCTTCTTGTCAATTGGAGACACGCACTTTGAATGTCATGTACTCGCCGCAGTGCACAAATCAAGTTCTTTTGTGTCTCTCTGAAAGTGGCACCGTCAGCTTCTTGTTGCACTTCCACCATTTAACTACTAACTAAATGTGCGTAGATGAGTCCGCTTTTTTACAATCAGAAGACATCGCGGGGCTTCTTGCGTACTTTAACAACTTTTATCTTGTAGCAAATGGAATCTGCCATTTAGCATCCGTAAACACTGTCAAACTTTATTTCCACTTCGTAAACATTGGAGTTCATTACCAGAAATGTAGATAGCGAAATAATCATATTGCCAATTGGATTCACTCTGTTTTTTTTTCATAATGAAATAAGCAACCAAGGCTAAAAGTTTCTCAACTTACCAACCAATATACATTTGGCTTATGTTTCTGCTGGATGTTGCCTCACGAATCAGATCGTCCACTTGCTGCGAGACGCTTGTTAACAAACCAGTCTCCTTGCCATCCAACTTTCTGCGAATTCTACCAAGCACATCTCGAGCCCTCGCATTTCCGAATCCAGAGCCTGTGTTGATAGAACAGGGTCTCACATAATCTTTTAATACATTAGCAGTAACACTCATTATGGGTAATTACGCACTTTGGAAGTCATCGTAATAATCGCCTTCGGTTGGAGGCTTCGCGGAGAAGATGAAGCCCTGAAGACCTATACGCTCACAGACAATTGTCCCCAAGTCTGTCTGTCTTCTCATTGCTTTGGCTGGAAGGCGGCATAAGAATGGAAATGTGTAATCAGTTCAACATTACCCATGGTAAGTTACAGTTTGTTTTTATTGCCACGTCAGTTTCTAGCACTATTCGTAGATTGAATCGCTAAATAACCACATCAAATTCTTGACGTGTTTTTCATTCCAGTTTAATCTCTTCCGTTAATAGTGGATTTGTAGTTAGTGTACCACAGCAGAAAGTCGCTGTTTCTACCCTCACGAATGGGCCAATGCTCACCAGTTTCATAACAGCCAAGCCAAGGGCCGTTGCACAGATGGTGTCGCCAGGGGTTGATATGGCGGCAGTCGCGGAGGGAGAAGCTGCTGGGGTAGTTGAGATTAGTGAAGACAAAGGGCAGGTTCCGCGGATGCACAGTAGCCTGCGCCTGGTTAGGGGTGGTAGGGAGGCGGGAGGAGGCCTGGTGATATCTCGCGCCACCAACTGGGCCTCTGGGGTGATTTACACCATCTTCTTCCACCTGTATGAGGGAGATGTTATGTGGTAAGGGTAAATTAGCAAACTTACATTTTGCCAACCATTTCATACCTCCTTTACATGGTTAACAGTTATTGTCCAAGCTTTTATCTGCATTTTGGATTTGCAATTAACCACGAAACACCCTTCGTGAGTCGGCTATTTACAGCACGCGCAGAGCTAATCCGCACAAAAACCTTTTCTGGATATATCACACCTCTGCGGCTTGGATAAGTCAATCGATGTTAGCACACACACACAGCAAAAAAATTATAAATAGGATCATTGGGCCGAACACTAGATCAGCAGTATTATTGCGACGAAAAGGTGCGTCTGAAATCATGAAATAGACACACAAAATTACACTGAAGCACCTCAATAACAATAAGGACACCAACTAAATGCAACAATGGAGTGCATGAAGACGATACCTCGATAAAACAGCCTACATGGGTGCATTTGAATGCAAAAACGGTAAGTAATGGAATTAGAAAGTTGTTACTTGTTGTTGCTGTCCTTGTGGCGGCACGCCTCTTGTAGGCTGTTGAACGACTGTGGAGTTGGCAGAAACCTGCGAATTTGCAACTGCTGGAGGCTGCAAAACGGAACGTTTATTTTCAAGCAGTACCCACTGCAAAAGAGGATCGTGAATGAAGGCCTCTAGCACAGCAAGGAGGCTGTCGCGGTTGTCACGCATTAACTGCATCACAGTCTCACAGGTGTGGCGGTAGACTCCATCGATTCCCGTAACCTAAATTAGAAGAGGACTCCACTTAGGGTTGCAGTATAGCTTTCCGGAGATGCTCCGGCCGGGGAATGATGGTCCAACTCACCTCCATGGCAGCGACGAGCATTCGCGTCAACCGGAAGGGCACCTTCTCGGGGTACTTCTCGCGCATCATCGCCACCTCAAAACAGTCACCAAAGTCTATGTGCACAATTTTCCCTGTCTCGCGACAAAGCATCAAATTTGAGGGATGCCTATAAAAGCAGGAATCAAAAACACGCATTTAAATGAGGACAATAACTAGTTGAGCGATCCTAATGTGACAGTTCTAGTGCCTCAAGAGAAATATAACCCAAGTTTTGATTTTAAAAGAAAATAGATTGGCCTCTCGAGAAACATCCTGGTCGCTCTTCCCAAATGCCATTTACATGTGCCTGTGTAATTGGCGAAGTTGCAGGGCTTTAAATTATTTGGGTGAATTTTAAGCATAACATGCAACTATAATTAATCAAGCGTTACCGGATCCAGACTAGGGTCAAAGTCAGACACCAGAAAGAAAAGGCTGGAGAAAAAAATTCTAGCGAATTCATGACTGCTTCACCATAACAAAAGAACCACTCATATGCCAGTCCAGAACTAATTTGAGATCGAACATACTGTTTGTGCAAGACAGATAATCTCCTCGAACGGTGTACCTCGCACGACGGATTAAAATGACACCTAGCCGACATAAATTACAAGCCCAGTTGCAAAATTATGAGCTCTTCAACATCTGTTCTTTTAATATACAGGAAGCCCATCCTAGCCCAAGTAGTCATCATATATCGGAGGTAAAGGCAGTATAAATGTCGCCGAAACAACTCACCGGTCCCCCAGGCCCAAAATGTAACCGACCATTGACATGACAGCGAGCGAGCGGATAAAGGTTGTTCGGCGCTCGAACCATGTCTGTAGGAGAAGGCAATCAGAGCGTAAAACGAATCGAAACACGGGAATAAAAGCTTAGAAAAGGACGGACTTCAGAATTGTGACTTTTGAGCCACAAGATGTTGGCGAGATCTCTTCCCGAGGACACTTTGAGGCCGGCTTCAAACACTTCCGTTTTCTGACTTAGGTTTAGACGATCGAAATCGGGGGCTAAATGGAGCATTTCCCGATGTTCTTGATTTAACGTGATGTCAGTCTTATCACGATACTCGCGAATCAGACTGTGCAAAGTGTCGCTATTCGGTACCCAACCAATGAGACCAGTGTTGGTAGATAGAGGGATGATTGAGAAACGCTGAATTCTGGCAAAGTGAAAAGAGGTTGGTCATGTAACAACAATGAACGATGTTAATGCGGTTAAAACACAGTTTGGCATATCGAAAATCAATTTAAAGGCTAAAAAGCAGAACCAATCACACCAAAGTTCTGGAAGGCGAACAGGAACCAAATGTCCACAAAGGCAGCAGTACCGAAACTCGTGGGTTTTGAGACGATGTTAATATGCTGATTCGTAAAAATGTGTTGAATTTAGCTGTCTTTTAAATGAAAACCAAGGATAAAACAAGTTAACGTACGTAAGGTTTCTGCGTAGGGTTTCCGGATTAGTCATAAGGAGCGTGTTGATCAGCCCAAAGAACTGCATCACTCGTTCATCCTGACGCGTGTCCTCGTGGCCCTTTAGCAGGAAAACGTACGTCTTGCCATTTGATCCTGTATGCATATGGAACAGGAAGAAAGGTCAAGTGTTTTTAATTGACGCTAGTAGTAAAAGCTCTAACTGAAGAACAGACTCAAACAGTTTTCCCTAGTCTTGGAAATGCTTAAAGATGGCATAGGTGTTGGAGCAGTGTAAAAAGCATTGTTACTCCAATACAGCAACTACGTGGCCGAATGTCAAAAAGCGCATGAGGAAATCACTAAAAAAGAGGATGTGGTGGGAAGCGGTGAGAACAACAAGGAAGCAAAAAAGATGTCTTTTTTGAAATGGCATTATCAAAAAACAACCGATTGAGGAAATTTGTACGAGGAAATCGAGGATTGGATTTGGTGAAAACTAAATGTCAAAATCTACTACCACCACTGCTTAATTATCTCTTTTGACCATAAGTGGAGGACCTAAACGTTAGGGAAGCACCGGCTCACAGTCGAAATGGCTAGGTTAAGTTACAAAACAAGCAAACAAATGTCTTGAAGATGGAATAGCGCTCACCGAGCATGGTGCATTTCCTTGGATGCTGCTTCGAGGACATCACCATTAGGCAATTTTTGACACCCGCCAAACGCACCAGGGGCAACTGAGGCTTGTAGCTCCCCGGGACCGCCAGAACCCAGTCTTTTCCGTAGGCTTGAAGCCTCGGCGCCGCACAAGTCAGATCCAACGAGGTCAGATTTGTAACGCGCTTGGAAAGCTAGATGAATTTTTTTTGAAAACAAAACAACTGCAGAAGGCATTTTAACGAATCATGATTTTGGAAGTGATTTAAAACAAATAGATAAAAAGAAACTTGTTGAAATAAAGGAAACCCACGTTTTAATGAGACAAGGACAACAGCGACAACAACAAGAACCAAAAACACCAAGTAATTAATGCTTGAAAACTCTAAGAAGTGACTCAATCAGTGAACGAGGACCTAGTGGTACGTATGTCAAAAAAAGTGCAAATCGTAAGGGTGGGTTAACTCACAACTACCTGGGGGGCACACTGTGATCAAGTTGGAAGAGCAGTCCACGCTTGTCTATGTAAAATACTAACAATTAGATTTGCTTAAGCTCCAATTCGAGGTTACCCCATGAGAGCTTAAGCGACAAAGGCGAATGGCACGACAAACCAATTGACAGACAGCAACTTCTGAAGTAAAATTCATAAACTAATGCGATAAAGACAGTGTGTTAATTTTAGCCAAGTGACTGCTGAGAATAAAAAGCATGAACCTCTAAAATATTTTAATTTCAGCTTACAGTTCGATAGAGAGTGTAGTAGCCTTCCCAGGCCTGCTGTAAATCAGCTTTCAAACCTTGGTTCTCGAAGCGCTCACAGTATATTCGTGAGTTGTTGAGTTCCTTCCCAAACTCCTGCAGAAAGGCAGCCTCGTTGATTGTCTCATGGCCGCGTTCCATAACCATATGGAGAGGATGAAGGAGACGGAACATTTTGGCCGTGTCCTTCTCAACAAAATACACTCTGCTGGCGTCTTCAAGACACTCGAACCACATCTCCATCCAGGTCACAGAAAGGCGTATCAATTCTTCGTTTAGCTACAATGACGAACGCACCAATCAAGGTAACCCCTCAAATAGAGTCTACTTGGACGAGTTATCATACATATCAACACATTTTCATTAAAATCCGCTGAACATGCAAAAGTGTGGTCAGTGTATGTGCTCGAATGTTAACGGTGGCCAATCTGTCAGTTGCAGGAGATACCCAACTTTATTCTATTACATCTCATATAGATCAAACTACAGCTGTACAAATTTCATTGGTGGAGAGCAATGGACAAGGTTTCAGCAAAACTGGGTCTGTCTGAAAACAAGTCCAACAATAATAATAATGGTTTTTAGTTGCCTGAATGAACCAGAGAAGTGATTAATTACTTGAAAGATCAACTTGAACTCAAGAAATCTAACACTCGAAGCCATGAGACCAGTGGCCTAATGGTTGAAGTCTCACGCCATTAAAGCAGTTTACGGACCAATTAAAATATTTAATAACAAGTTTCAGGCACTATAACCCCCTTAGGCAGCAGTACTTGACATTCCAAAAGTAGCCCACAACTGCCAAATGAGTGCTAGAACAGAGATAGCATACCGCGGAAGGGCAGGCACGGTTGTCCTAAAGAGCCTGCCACGTACCTGCAACATCTCTCAACCAAAAAAACTTTCCAGACAACAGCATGTCTTACGAAACGAGAATTAAGGTAGGATTAGGGAGAATTAAATTTCCACAAAACAACACAAGGATGACGCCGGTGTCGCGGCAGAAGCAAGGCAGCACTCACCAAGAAAGCTTCATACACAAGACGAGGGCTGTGCTCTTCCATGAAGTAGAGAATCTTTGTAGCGTAATACCGTCGTCGATCCGAGCCACCCGACTTGAAGGCGAGGACGAGAGAGTTGATGAGCGCCTGCGGAAACTGCCTACCAACAGCGACAAGCAAATCGACAATAATGTTAGCCACGTGTTCATGTGGAGTGTCGATGCGGGCTAGCAGCTGTTGCAGAACGACAAGCCAGTTCTGAAGACGAATTTTGCTCAAACCCTCGCGGATTATATCACGAATCTCCGACACATGACCGAACTGGAAGAGCAAGTTAATCAGACGGAGGCTATCCTGAAATGACAACAAAAATAAGGCTTTATTAGCACTTGTAAAATTAACTCTGAGGAGCCTTGTCTAAACTTCGTTCTGACTACCTCTAGCGATTTTAACGACGACTGACGTTCAAAATCTAGAACAAGTTTTGCCTAGAATTAAATATTCTTAGTTTCAAGGAGCAAGAAAATTAGACTTTCAATGAAAACCTAGCGGAAATAGCATGCAGGTGTGCTCAAGAGCCATTTATTTTAGAGAGTTATCCAGTACATTGGCTAAAACTATAACGCATAATTTCAAGACTTGGTCGTGGTAGCTACAGGACCCACCGCTAACAGTGCCGCAAGAACCGAGCTCACACAAGAAAATGTGCAAGTCGAATGCATCCACGGCAGGTTCTATGGCAAGAAATAATTATAACGGCAATTTAACTCATGAATTAAGATCGGTAATGAACACATGAACAAGAGTTACACTTAGACTCCTAAATTAGGGAAATCCATAGATGTCCTCTCTCAGATCTCAAGAAATATATCGACTACGACATATTATTGATCATTGGAGTTACTTCTCGGACAAAAAATAACGTCCAGATAATTTTGTTTACGGAAGCCACTTATAAAAAGCGTATAATCAGGGTTGTAACAAATGCTTGCTATTCTTGCCTTTCTGACATAGTATAACGATTACTCTAACAGGAGGCGAAAAAGGGAAATGATGTAGTCCAGAAGCATCGACTATATAAGGAATGACCAGGAATGCGGGTAAATGGAAAATCGACAGTAAATCAATCACTCTGGGTGGGTTCAGGGAGGTGGCAGGTGCACAGCTGTAAGTTGGATGGCGAAGGCTCGACTCCCCGGTCGCTGGTTCAATCGCCACAACAGCATATCTTTGAACACCAGAAAGGGACCAGAACCAAGAAAAGAACCCGAGATAGCAAGGATAGAAAGTAAACAAAATCATTTTAAACACGAAGGCTGGGTAAATATACATGATGCTAAGGGACACTAATCGTCACCAAATCGCCACAACCACGGCGGTGATTGAATATCGACTTCAAATATAAGATATGTAAGGAAAGAGATGATTAATCAGCTGAGCGCTGAGTCAACTTCCAGAATTTGACTTGGATAATATCAGTCTGGTGTTGCCAATAGCTATCACCTTATTGGCAGTTGGGCGACGGCAAGCTGCAAAATAGCGTTTGGTGGCAACGAACAATGGTAATTTAAAATCCGAAATTAAAGAAAAATAAACGAAGAAGTTAAACAAGAAGAATAACCAAATCCGTGTAATTATTGGTTAGAGGACTAACTTAGCACTAGCAAATCAGTAGGCCAGTGTACATTAGGTGGAAACGGCGACTTCAAGATAGCTTAGTCCGACATAACGGATCGGTGCAAAAGTGGGTGAAGGCTAGGTCTGGTGAGTAGAACCGACTGACAAGAGCGTACGAGGGTCGTTGAACAGTCAATTATTAACGCAGAACAATCTTTTTAAAAGAATTGCCCCACGAGAGACCGAGAATTAAGCTCGAAGAGTAGTGAAATACGAGTGGAATGGTGACACACAAGGACCATATCGTCATCGGGAAGAAGCTATGATGAGAAACGAGGCGTTGAGGAATAGGAAGTTAAGGCATGGGAAAAATAGACAAAGCGGGAGCACTTAGTCGATGCGGCACTCGTGTGAGCGGCACTTGATTAGTGGTTTTCTCATCCCAAAGCATTGGCGTGAGCCACACGCAAGCCGACGTTTGTAGACCGATATAAAGTTTGAACTCTGTAGAGTAAAACCTTTCACCGCAAATATGCTCACTAAGAACCTCAAAGCAAAAGTGAGAAGCATTTAGGGGTGACAAAATACCTGAAGATTAGCTTCGGGTGAAATACTGATGGAATTGATATAACCTCGAACGGATGGAGCAGCGAGTTGTTCAATGCTTCTTTGCAGAATGGTACGTCGCTGACCGAGAGCAGTTAGGCTTTGCTTGAGCGTAGAACAAGAACTGGAATTCCCGACATCAGTAGCATTCAGATCGCCAACTTCCGGGGACATCATCTTCAGAGAACATGGAAAAAGAGACCACAAACCTTCGTAACATTTAAACATGTAACAAGTAATTTTCAACAAATCGCGTGCAGAACCTTTGTCATGTGTCCGCTCATACATGGATAGCACAATATAATTGAATAACTAGTCAAAAATCTGACAACCCAAGATTTCTCGTTTTACACACATGGGATGGAGTAAGTCTGACAACTGAGAGATCAGAGATGACAGGCTGGACGACTGTTACATGCAAGTACTAAGCTTGGATCAAACTACAGCCCTTAAGAAATACGTATTTAAGAAATCGCATTAACAAAAACTTAAAACAAACACAAAATCCAGTTCAGAGTTGGGTGTGGGGTTACTCATCGAAAAGGCATCATACTATCAGAGCACAAAAAGACGAACCACCTGTCGAATCATGGTTTCTTTCTGTTCTATTTGGGCTTTCTCCACGCCTAGGCGAGTGAACAGATCGTAGTTGGCCATCGCCCAGGCCTGCCAAGCTAACCGGTTCCCAGGAGTGTGCTCCGTCGCGGTTCTGTAGCACTGAATAACAAAGTTGTGCGTGCTGATCGTCTTCTCGTCCAAAAAGTGGAAATTAGAACCAGCACTTCCAGATTGCAGTGAAGAATTCACACTAAGCCCCTAAAGGCACGTTTGAAATGGGGATGAGAAGTCAGTCAGGGGAATTTCGATTACGAGGTACCGAAATTAACTTTCCGATAATACACTTATGGACAACATAAAAGAGAGTAGGTTTGCAAAGACGGAAAGATCCACCTAGGAATAAGTCCTGCATATAAATCATCACATTTATCGTATTTTATAAAAGCTAATTTCATTATCAGAGGTAAACAATGTCAACACTTGGAATCATGTCGATCTTTAACTGTTACTTCAGCACATTATTGGTGCTCATTTGAGAGGTCTAAAGACGATGACATCTAACTACCGAGACTCCCAATGAGGATGCTGGGCAAAGTGAGCTGAACATGGAAG